TTAACAATTTATTAAATGAGTATAATTCAGCATTTTGTGTACTTATATATTAACTATGTGATAAGATAATTGTCACTGTGGTTTTTAAGCTTCCTTCTCAGTTTTTGTCTTGGTGAATTTTGAATTTTGCAAGGAGTTTCTAGTGACATTTGCTATCTACTCATTACCTGTTTAATATGTGCAAAAGATGAGGGTTTACATTATCTCAGCATTCTGTTTTTGCTTTGCTTTTCTGTGTCAGGAATAGCACACATTCTGGGTAAGATTTGACGTGATCTCATAGATGCTTTTCATGTGTTTCTTGTGCATTAAGTATTTATTTTGTTATGTATGAACACCTTATTTCATGTGAAACTGGCATTCCCTTTACTTAGACCTGGGGAAATATTGCTTAAGTCATAATAAGTCATGTATTTATGTACCAGTCCCTCCCTGTCCAGCAGATGGCAATGAGTATCATCATAGTTTTTTTTTACGCTCCATGTACAAGGACACTGATGTTTTGCAGTAGTGTCAAATATAGCTGTGCTTTAATAAGTCACAGCACTGCTTCATGTCATCAATACACTAGCCATACTGGCCACAGCTCCACAGAAAATAAAACTAGTATGTCACTACGTAGATTTATCACTTGAGATATCAGGTCCACGGCAGCTCTGTTAGTTTATCATCACGAAATGCATTATTTTTGCCAGGTGATATGTTGAGTTCCCCTCCATCAATTTTTGTTTTAGAGTACTTAGTTTTATTTTATACGATTAATTTCAATGTAAATTGTGGGCATTCTAAATCCGAGGTAAATTTATACAATACATGTCAACATGCATGCCAACATTTGCCCATGTTTTAAATTTTTTGAATATTTTTGGTGTGTTTTGTTGATGCAAAGCTTGATAATAAGGTATAAAGCCTTGTTGACATGGTTCGAATTTATCACACATATCTGTAAAAGTTTGCAGAAAGCTGTTGATATTTGGAAACAAATTCAAACCTGAGTGCCAGAAATGAAACATTTACTCCTGTTTGCTTAAAGGTGTGAGACAACCAGAAACATTTGCCTCGAGGAACAATGTCAGAATGGAGCTGCTTGTATGCCTATCGGAGCCACAGCCATCAGACGAGAGTGCCTATGTCGGCCAGGGTATACTGGATATGAATGTGAAACCATGATAGGTGAGTCAGACCTCTCCAAAATATGTCTTTCTGATGCTTTTATTCATGCTGTGATATACCCTGTAGCAGCTATAAAACTTTTATTCTTATAACATAATTATTTCCTCAATTAATAAAGGAATATGCTCATTTTTGTTCATGGACCTAGAAGTTTTAAACTACATAATTTTATGTTGTGTTCATTTGGCACATAAGTAATGTTTCAGCTTATTGTATGTGCGTCACTGTATCACATCATTTCTGTAGTCCTAAATGTAGATATTATTGTATATAATACTTGTATGAACAATAATGAACAATTATATCAAACAAGGCAGCCCTAAGCACTATCTTATATGATAGTAGACACATAACAAAAATATTCACTGTTTATTTGATACTCCAGATTACTGTCTGTCCAACCCCTGTCAACATCTTATATGATAATAGACACATGATAAGAATGTTCACTGTTTATTTGATACTCCAGATTACTGTCTGTCCAACCCATGTCAACATGGCGGCTCCTGCACCCCAGCAGAGAACAGTTACACCTGTGACTGCCCACCTGGTTACTATGGCAACCACTGTGAGATGATCATTGACCAGTGTGCTGGCAACCCATGCGGTGCAGGCAACGTCTGTGTGGACAACCACATAACGGGTCTACACATGTGCGTGGAGGCACGGGTTTGGGGACAGAGTGAGTGTTGGTTTTAACATTATTGTGGTTCTGCTTTTTGACATCTTTGATCCAATATTCCTAGTCATCTTTAGAAAAAGTTTTGAGTGGCTATTATAGTGTATTGAGTTCAGTCACACCTGTATAAAAAAGAGAACTTTTAGTTATCATTTGGGCAGAGATGATATGAGAATCTGAGAATAAATTGAGAAAACATTGAATCTTCAATTGAAAGCCAGCAGAAGGTATTGTATCATACTCCTCAGTCTATATCAACCTCAAGTTTTGGCAAATGTCACCATGTTTTCGGGAAGAGGGCATTTTAGACATAAACTTCAACCAGTAATGAGCCTCTCTTTGGTGAGAACAGCATGTCCCTGTTGTTAGCAGGAAAGAGAGGCAATACGTTGCTCACATTTAAAAATGTCAAAAAAAAAAAAAAAAACAATAGAAAATCAGTTTCAATGGACAATATGGTGGTGTTTGCAGGTATGTGTCCAGACGGCACAGTGGAGTTGGCCGGAGCATGCCATACTGTTATCGACATGCGTGGGTTGAACCAGAGTGAGGCAAAGGCAGCATGTGCAGCGACATCTGGTGAACTTGGCAGCACAGGACTGCCTTTCTTCACAGCTGGCATGGAGGCCACTCTCACAGCCATGAAAGTGTAAGTGTGCCAAACTCCTACATGTGATGACTTTTTTTCTTCTAGTATGTGGAACTCCAGTTATCATAAGCTTAACACTAGTGGGCTTGACTTGGTCTTAAAGTGCAATTTAAGATGACAAATAGTCTTCTGTGATCTTAAAATATGAGTAAGACCATTTCTAGTCTGACAGCCAATTAAGTTGTCTCCCCTTACACATTCTCCTATTGTGAGCAGAGGTGTCCTCTATTGTGGGGGAGGTATCCCCCATTGTGAGGGGAGGAAACTGCTTGACCATTTAAGTAGATGTTAGATCATTTTTGACCTTAAAAGCAGATTCAGTCCATTTTAAGACTACTGCTATAATGATTAAGATCGTGTAAGATCACTTGTGAACTTAAATTGCACTTTAAGACCAAATCTAGCCCACTAGGGAAGTTCACTTCTACTGTATGAAGTGTTATAGTTAATTTAACTGCTTCTGACATGTTTGTTTTTGGCATTGAAAGAAGAATGATGTTTTATTTCAAAACCAAAATCTGTTTGAATTGTAATTATATATTGTGTATGAAAACTTGTTACACTTGTTAAACTTGTTGAATGAGTTACGGTACCTTTAAAATTCTAATAAAGTCGAATTCCTACTTAGCAATAAAGTCATCAAATTTTATCACCAATATTCTCTTCATCCTTCATCTATTCTGTTCTATTCCCCTCCAGTATGGACCTGGGTGTTGTGTGGGTGTCAGACATGGAAGATACCAACACGTCCATGTGCAGCGTGGTTGTGGCCGCCAGCAGGATGGTGGAACACGTGTCCTGTGGTAACGACACTGTGGCGCATGGCTTCCTGTGCTCGTATGCTATGCCAGGTGAGAACTGTCCTCTGAGGAGACAGGCTTTATATACAGTTATATATGTTTACTAACACTTCCCACAGATCTTTTAGCACTAACACCCATATTAACCACAAAACCCACACAAACCGACACACCATAAATTTTAAAGTATTTAGCAAGAACAAAGCGATACCTAGCACTATCATTCATCCACTCTGGTAGTGCTGGTTAATTTGCGGGTTATTTGGTTTATATGGGTGTTATTGCTTAAAGGTCTGTGGGTATTGTTAGTACACGCTTAATTTGTTAATATGGCCTGGAAGAGCTAGGCCAGCCTGGGGGGGCTGGTGGAAAGGATATGAATGTATACTGTATCTATGCACAGTTTAGTTGACTGGAGTCAAAGTGTTTGATACTATTTTTGAGATTCAATTAACATAGAACTTAGTTTGAAATTTTGGAAACTTTGTTAGAAATTGTGGAAAAGTTATTCCCAAAAGCAAAATTCAATAACTCAAAAGTATTTGTGAAAAAGACCTGCTTATGGGCATCAATGGCTATTCGATTTAAGTATTTTTTAATCCAAGTCAGAACAACCTTTTATCAATTATTTTATTTCAGCTTTCAATCTGACGGCATTTTCTCAAAATGTCCTGTAATTAGCTTCTTTAAACATTTCCAGCCTCTGATAAAAATACTAATTTCCGTGGCTTCACCAAGAGAGAAGGTTCCTGTGCAGCCAATACCATCCCAGGCCTGGCAGCCAACAGGTCACTGAAGGACTGCCACTATATGTGTAATGTCCACACCAGCTGTGCAGGCTTCTCCTACGACTTCTCCACTGGGCTGTGTAGTCCCTATGCCAGGATGTGCTACTCCCTGTCTGCTAACCCCAATGTCATGACATATGAGAGAACAGGTAGGGGAGCAGTGAAGCAGGGCTCCATAACTCGAAAGCAAAGCTAATTGTGATAGCAATATCACCTTTCATTTCCAGGCTATTATATGGGCCAAATAAATGCCTAGTTATGGAATAGAAACGCTTGCGCTCGGTTGCAAATTGCAATGCTTTCGAATTACGGAGCCGTTGGGTTGTTGTGCAGTTGGGTTGTTGTGCAGTTGGGTTGTTGTGCAGTTGGGTTGTTGTGCAGTTGGGTTGTTCAGCTTGAATTGTACAGTCGTCCTTTCTTGTTAGCATTTGCAAGTTTTTTCGAAACTCTGTTTTTGGGGAGGTAGATTTTATTGTAACATCCAGGCAATGGTTTACTCACATATACACATATATACACACACACACATTTCTCACGTGTCTCATTTGCTGGCATTAGAATTCAGTTCTTCACCCTATCATGTGTATATTCCAGAAATCAGCTGCTACCAGAGCTACCCAGGCACATGTGGCGGTAGCCTTTTCCCCCTGATCTTTGTTCCGGGGACCCTCCAAGAGTGTGCTGACCAGTGCAGCAGTGATGACAACTGCAAGGCCATCATCTACAACACGGGTGTGGTCAGCGGAACTAACACCGCCTGCGTGGCCATGTCTGCCGGCTGTGATGTGGGGGATATTACCGTGTTCCAGAATAGAAGAGTCTATATTAAATCTAGTATGTTTTTACTGATCTGTCCATTCTGTGTATACTTCTACCGAATAAGTGTATGTTATTCCTTCTTTTGTTCCTTTTTTAACCTTCCTTCTTTCTATCTTTCCAGTAGATCATATTATTTTATCCTTCCTTCTATCCTTCCATGATATTAGTGTATTTTCTTTCATACATCATTACCTTTCAGTTTTATTGTTGAACCTGAAGATGCAACATTTCTTTAAGTACCTGTGAAGTTGCTATGTATTAGTAATAAAAGATGTGCTTTGTCAACATCTAACTTATTGACTCACTGATGAGACTTTTGTCAGAATTCCGACTTTTTCAGGGTCATTTGGGTCATTCTTGTGAATCGTGTACCCTGGACCTCCGGACAATTTTCCTACTTTTTCAGTGAGAACTGGTCTCATATCCTTGTAACTGCTGTCATTTCAGGTAATTCCCTGCTGTTTAGTCCCAAGGTGAGAACACCTGTTGATGGCAAGTGGACGCTGTCCATCTCTGGCTCTACTCTGGACTTTGCCCCTGACATGCCTCTGATTGGTGGAGTGCAGACAGTGACGAAGGACGGGATACCGTACACTTACTCTGGCGTGCCAGTCAAGAACAGATACGATTACATGACCAACCTCACTGATGTGGCAGAAAAACAGTATGTACAGGTGAGTGTTAGGATTGAGTTGTATTCGAGGCACACTGTTTTAAGAATTAATAAAATTAATAGATTATGTTTTTTAAAAATTCATGGTGAAGCTTCCAGTTTTAAATTTTTCAGGTCAGTGTTGTATTGTGATAAGGAGCAAATATTAGATAGGAGTTTTTTCATGTCTGATCCATTTCTACTATATTGTGTTAAATAGCCACAGATCTAATATGCCCTATACCCTATCCAGGTTGATGCAGGTGCTTTAAGCCGTGTGAAGGGGGTGGCACTGCAGGGAGGGATGTACGATGTCCCCAGTATCTCCACCACCGCCACATCTCACGTCACTCGGTTCCTGGTCACTTACTCACAGGACGGTACCACCTACAATACCGTCATGGATAACGGAGCACCCAAGGTATGGTTTCTGAATTTTTGTTGATCTTTAACTTTTTTCCCAAATAAAAATCCTTATTTATAAGACAACGCAGTTAATTCAAATTTATTTTGGACCATATTATTTTTATATTTCATTTTATTTTTTTCATAATTCGGTATTAAATGGCTGACATGAAACTTCCCTCTACATGAATTCTAAGGGTCTTAATTTAATATGATTATTGTTGTGTTCATCTAAGTATCTTCTTATCCAAATACACAATTCAAGGCTTGTATTGTATTTCTTAACGTGTGTAAACTGTAACTCACCCTAATCTACTGTCCTCAGGTATTTGAAGGCAACATGAATGGACACGGGGCAGTCAAGGTGACATTTGAACCCTCACTCCTAGCGTCCAGTGTGAGAGTCCACCCCGTGGACCAAGTCACTGACCCGAGTCCACCCAGCAGTGGCGCTGAGATCCTGCTCAGACTGGGACTCATGGTGCAATGTGAGTGTGAGCTAATAAATGTGATCTTATCGAGAACTTTGTACTGACAGTTGTGACAAAACTGTGGGTCTGTGTATCAGAGAGACTGCCCTCCATTTAATTATACGGGGTAATGTTAGCTTGTCATACGTGGGTCAAAATCTAGGGCAAGGCTTTACTCTTTGGCCACATTCAGAATAGGGAACTAACTAGTCTGAGGGTTAAATTTGGCTGACCCAATTAAATACTTCCCCACGGGATATCTATTCATTGTCTATTAGCAGATTAGATGGCAAGCTTTGTAGTGGGTCACCATATTTGACCCTCGGACTAGTTAATCCCCTATTCTAAATGCCCCCTATGACTCTGCAAATAAATAGGAACTGGACTTGCTATCACGAGAGATTCTCTGTCATGTCACACTTTGACAATGGTCAATTAAATCACGTGAAGTAGTAAAGGAGACTTCATTGGCAGCAAATAATCTCCAATTCTGTTTCATTGTATTAAAGGTGGTAGTTGTACCCTGTATGGGTTCATGTTTATGATGTTGTAGTTTTACTTATTTTAGATAAAAGTGATTTTCTCTTTATGCTTATTTTTTTATGAAATTATGTATTGATAACAAGAGAGTTATAGTAAGGATTTATTAAGTTGCACAACTTTTAGAGTGCACATTGTTAAGAATGATATTTTTACACTTTGATGAATACATCAATTTTTCCTTTTATTTCAGCTTGTCCTGCTGCAAGTGCGCCCTCTTCAGACTGGGCTGTTGACTTCTGCGCTGGCTCCCCCTGTCAGAATAGTGGCTCCTGTATCAACATAGGGATGTTCTTCATGTGTGACTGCCCAACTGGCTTTGAGGGGTATACATGCCAGCATAACAAAGATGATTGTGCCAGTAATCCCTGTGTGAGAGGCCAATGTGAAGACAAGAGAAATGGATTCAAATGTCACTGTCCTATGGGATACACAGGTAGGTAGTGTGAGGACAAGACCAATGGATTCAAATGTCACTGTCCTATGGGATACACAGGTAGGTAGTGTGAGGACAAGACCAATGGATTCACATGTCACTGTCCTATGGGATACACAGGTAGGTAGTGTGAGGACAAGACCAATGGATTCACATGTCACTGTCCTATGGGATACACAGGTAGGTAGTGTGAGGACAAGACCAATGGATTCACATGTCACTGTCCTATGGGATACACAGGTAGGTAGTGTGAGGACAAGACCAATGGATTCACATGTCACTGTCCTATGGGATACACAGGTAGGTAGTGTGAGGACAAGACCAATGGATTCACATGTCACTGTCCTATGGGATACACAGGTAGGTAGTGTGAGGACAAGACCAATGGATTCACATGTCACTGTCCTATGGGATACACAGGTAGGTAGTGTGAGGACAAGACCAATGGATTCACATGTCACTGTCCTATGGGATACACAGGTAGGTAGTGTGAGGACAAGACCAATGGATTCACATGTCACTGTCCTATGGGATACACAGGTAGGTAGTGTGAGGACAAGACCAATGGATTCACATGTCACTGTCCTATGGGATACACAGGTAGGTAGTGTGAGGACAAGACCAATGGATTCACATGTCACTGTCCTATGGGATACACAGGTAGGTAGTGTGAGGACAAGACCAATGGATTCACATGTCACTGTCCTATGGGATACACAGGTAGGTAGTGTGAGGACAAGACCAATGGATTCACATGTCACTGTCCTATGGGATACACAGGTAGGTAGTGTGAGGACAAGACCAATGGATTCACATGTCACTGTCCTATGGGATACACAGGTAGGTAGTGTGAGGACAAGACCAATGGATTCACATGTCACTGTCCTATGGGATACACAGGTAGGTAGTGTGAGGACAAGACCAATGGATTCACATGTCACTGTCCTATGGGATACACAGGTAGGTAGTGTGAGGACAAGACCAATGGATTCACATGTCACTACTTTATCAGATACACAGGTAGGTAGAGTATTGTGAGATGATACAGTTACTCGATCATCAGAAATGCATGCTTATAACAGTCATGCAAACAAATCTGTACATATGTTATAGGGTTATTTTTCAAATATGAAGTAAACTTGATAGCTAAAGATTATTAAGTGCTGCAATTTTTCATCGATAATCTATAAATTTCTACAATAAATTTCTTTATGTCTCTTAGGTAACAAATGTGAAACTGAAATCAACCACTGTGCCTCAGACCCCTGTCGTAAAGGCAGCTGTACCAACATGCCGTCAGGATACACGTGTACTTGTGAAGCTGGTTATAAGGGCGTGAACTGCAGGGTGAGTTGTTGTTGAATATCTTTGTGTTTGTGCGGGTCTTTACGTAACCCTATTTTGTGCAGTTTTTTTGTAAATTATAAATGTTTTTCACAGAGTATAACATAGACTCCAAGTTCGTTTGTAAAACAACCAATTTTTATATAAATTAAGTTCAACTGAATGAATGAAACTTAATGGGCACTTTTTAAAAATGAGGCAATCTACCGGTAACACATTGCAGATGTTTGTATTGTTTTATATGACATGTCAGGAAGAGACAGATGAGTGTGAGTGTCAGCCTTGTCTCCATGGTGGAGTGTGCGTGGACAAGGTGGCCGACTTCCAGTGTAACTGCACTGATGGATGGGAGGGCAAACGCTGCGAGAAGATGATTGACACCTGTGAGCCATACCCCTGTGAAAACAATGCCACCTGTCTGAGCTCATTCAATAACTTTGTGTGCAGGTAAAGTATGGGGTTGGCCGTTGAAATTATGAAACTATGAAGTTAAGGAAATATTATTCCTGGAGTATGCAACTAAGATTTTTTTATGTATAAAGTTTGAGTCTTGAATAAAAATTAATGTTTATTGAAAAGCTTAATAAATTCCACAATCAGTTGATCAGTGGAAGCAATGAAAAATAAAGGTTTGAAGGTTCCTTCAGAAGAGATTCATTCATTTTCACTTTAAAGTCCTTTTTGATTTCATGTTAAACAACGTGCATCTCCACTGTTACAGGTGTCCCCGTGGTAGATATGGGGCAGCATGTGAAAATGAGGTCAATATCTGTACTAATGCCAACCCATGCCTAGAGGGCAGCACTTGCCAAGAAGAGAACGAACAGGTCACTTGTGACTGCAGAGATGGTAAGAAAGCGTGTTAACATTGCTTAAGCCACTAAGGTATACTTGATTTTGTTGGGATGTGTATGTTAAAAAGATGAAAAATAGGTATATAGCATCAAGTGTGCACAAAATTATTTAAATGTGAGATATTCTTGATCTGTAGTTTTGGAATGATAATTTTTGATGAAACACAGTTCAGTACACTAGCTGTTGTTTAGTTCTAACTTTAATGTTAAATAGTACTTAAATAGCCAGTACAGAGAAATACCATACAGTTTTTGGCTGTGGATATCATAACAACATACCTTTGTGTACCCAGGTTATTATGGCCAAGGCTGCCAGTTTGTTAAGAACTATTGTGGCGAGGATGACTTTTGTAAGAATGGCGGGACCTGTATGTCCATGCATGCTGGCTACAAGTGTCAGTGTAGGCCAGGTGAGACCAACAGCTGTAGATTGACTTTAAAAATAACATTGAAGAAAATGTAGTAAATACAGTGATTTGTGGTTCATCTTAGTTTTGAAGTAAAGTAATTATAACCAGCTAAGCTCCAGGATAAAGGTTTTCAACACAGATTTATGATATAAATCATAATAACCACATATTGAAGTCATTTTACTTTGTCCTTATAATCAGGCCAGTGTTCACCTCTCAAACTTTTGTAAAGGTTTTACCATACTTAGGCCTACTTTGCCTTAGATCTTACTTCCACATCCTTTGTTCTCTGCAGGTTATACAGGTGAGAAGTGTGAAGACAATATCAATGACTGTCAGCCAGGGACATGTCCAGGTGTGAACGCTACCTGTGTGGATGGTATTAACGCTCATCTGTGTGTCTGTCCACTGGGGAAACTGGGGGAGGACTGTGACAAAGGTAGGTGGAAAATAAATCATGTTGTAATTTTGTGCTCTTTTATTTTAATAATGTCTTGTTTTCTGATGTGATACTCTAGAACTGAATTGGATAATTTAATGAAATCAGCAGTCATTCATTAATATCGTCTTGGATATAACAACCTAATAACAATTGTATATTGCGATGTATTTTAATTCAAGTAAAATATATTTACAGTGTTCTGGCTTTGCACAGGACAGTTATGATAATGTCCGTGGGTCAGACACTTTGTTGGTGCCAAAAAAAGGGAGGAATTTTAATGAATTCTTAAAGTGGTTTTGAGTAAGGCCAAATATGTGTGATTACCTTTTCAATCTGGCAACAATCCCTTAAATTTAAGTTAATTTTCATTTCAGATGTGGACTCGGATTTTGACATCAACTGTTACTCCCCCACCAAGTCTGGCCTGGCCTGGCTGGCCAATCCATTTGTGCTGGGAGGCAGTGGCTTCACCTTTAAATTTGACGTGAGGTTTGCTGAAGAAAATGGCACAGGAACCTTTGTCAGCATGTTTGCCTCCACGTAAGTCTTGATTGTCAGTGATAGTAAAGTTTCATGTGAAGTCAGCCCTTTCCCACTAAACCTGACCAAATGCCACCATATCGTTTTAAATAGCATAACTAAAATATATATAGCAAAGGGAAATCATCTAAAGAGGTTTATATGCGTTATTGAGAATCTACACCTGCTTCATATGTAAATTTTCAATTTTTAGATTTCTGTACACTGATGAAAGAAGAGACATTATCATCACCCTTTTTTATATATTTTTGAGTGTTTTGCAAGTGATATGTTTAAACTGTACATATTTTTACATCCAGTCTAAAGTATTTTTCATAATAATTATGGTTGTAAGTCTAACGACTGTTTCATGATTTGACCGTACCTTTACACTCAAGTTTTATTGTTTCTTCACCAGTGCTGATATTTTAATACTATTTATTAATTCCAGAGTCCAGTATAATCTGAATTCTCTCACTGAGGTGATCACATTTGATGAGGAAGGTGTCTGTGTCTCCTTCACTGGAACCAAACACTGTATGAGAAATAACCCAGTGGTACAGGTGAGACTGGTGAAGAAGTTCATCGTAAAACTTGGTGAATTCCATCTGCAATCTCAGGGTTTTTTTAGACTTTTGAGTGGTTAAATCTTTAATTGAGACACAGAGTGGATGATGGAAATTTTAAGATAACTTGTGCAGAAGAACCATGATATCTTTTTAGTACTAGTAGCAGTATTCCTTCAAAATAAAATAACAAGGTGTGAGTTTTAGTGCACTCTTTATTGAAAGACTTGGTGTTCACTTGTAACTGTTTATTGTCTTCTAAATACCTTGAAATGTTTTTGGTTGGTGAAACTTGCATGTGAAATATCTACATTATATATGAGTAATCACTGTATACTTCCAGATTGATGTTAATGATGCTAATTGGCATGAAGTGGTGTTCACATGGTCCTCTAGTACTGGACTTATCGTCACTGTAGACAGTGTGGTGGTCATCAGGAATATGACCTACGCCCTTGGTCTCACACTGCCACCCTTGTGAGTTTACTGTTACCTAGAGTTGAAATGTTTGCTTTGTTTTGAGATAAGGTCCTACTGTACATGTCAGATTTCTATTTGACTACATGAACTTGAATGGCTGTTTTTCTCAACAATTTTGAATTAAGAAATATTATTGCTTTATTTGTGTTGATAATATTTTGGTGTATTTTAATTTTACTTAAATGAGTGATTATCTGAACTTTTCTGCTTTACATTTTCATAGAGCTTAAATTCAGTATTATAGATGAATTTGTATCTAAGGATAAAAATTCTGTTCCTTGCCAGTGGCTGGTTTGTTCTTGGAGGCGAGTACGACCTGGACAGAAGAGCCGCCGTAGTTGGGCAAGGATTCCAGGGCTACCTGAGCAAACTGACTGTGTTCAACCGTGTCTTCCTGCTGGCTGATATCCCTGGCATTGGCACCGACAGGTTCAACGATGACCGCATCTTGTTGTGGGGAGACTACAGACTGAACAGAGGCTGTGTGAGGACAGGGAGCAGTACCGTGGGCACCACGCCCTGCCGCCCAGGGTTTGTGGGGCCAACCTGTGACCCTCAGCCAGGTAGCTTCACTAGATAGCAAATTGAAATATGTCTGAGAAGTTGTGCACTTAGGAACATTTTTTTATTTTTTTATTTTATTTTTTTATTTTTATTTATTTTTTTATTTTGGACAGTACCCTAAATTTTATGTAAACTTTCACAATATATTAATTACTATAGGTAACTTATCCCTTATCCATAGCTGCTGCTGCTTTCAGATTTTATAACATATACAAATAAATATATTTCACTTTAAATATGTATGGTATTATGTAAGGTATTAAATTCTGTATATTTTTAGATGTCACTCCCCTCATGATAACCTGTCCAGCAGACGTGCACTTGGTGACCTCTACACGCTCCAAATCCGCGGAGTGGGCAGACCCCATAGTGAATGGTGCATACAAGTCACTCACACCAAGCATGATGAAAGGTAAGAACAGAGCAAGGCAGTGACTGGAACATTCAGCATTTTCATACTTGACTGGTAATTTCCTTCATTCAACAATTGGAAGTTAGCATCAAACATCATGAAAATTGAGCACATGAATTATGATCATGGCACTTTTTTACTTTAAGGTCAAACTTTGGCATGGGGCAGACACAAGGTCACGTATCGTGTTGAAGATTTTGCAGGAAATGTGGCTTTCTGCAGTTTCAAGATTTTTGTCAGATGTAAGTGATTCCACACATTTTTTGTTCAAATGGCAAGATTTCTGTCTTATTTTCAGTCTTATTTATTCATATATTTGTATAATAATCTTATGTATTAAATTTTTTCATTATTATTATTATTATTATTATTATTATTATTATTATTATTATTATGTCACTATTGTTATAACACTATCTTGTCCACACATTTCAGATGGCTGTACTGGTTTATCTGATGATGGCATCTGTTACTCTGCCTCCACTGTCACAGCTGTTCACAGTGACGTTAACTCAGGTTGTTCTAGGCAGTACGGTCTGAACACGGCCCCAGCCTCGGCACAGCTGCTGCAGAAACTACGGGAGCATCTCACCAGTCGTAATGCTTCCGGGGACTTCTACTGGCTTGATGCCAAGTGGGATGGTATGAGTTTTAAAGACGCTGGAGGAAACACTGTAACTGTGGCAGGGTCAGAGCTGGCGTCTGCGCTGGGTGGGGCTCTGTAAGTAGACCTCTGTATGATATTATAAAGTGGTCTTATTTTAAGAAATATGCATCCTATTTTGTACATGTAGATAATAATTAGTAAAAAATGTGTATCAGCTTGACTCATTTTGCTCTTTAAACATACATGTTTATGGTCTACAGACAAATGCTTTTTTGTTTTGTTTTGTTTTTTATATTTTCATTATAACACATGCTGTTAGGCAATGATGTTTTCATCAGCAGTTACTTCACATAAATCAGCTGTGTAATTTCATATATATTGTGTTATGTAGGCCCACCTCAGGTAATGAAGGCATGTGCCTGGCACTCAGCAGGAGTGACGGGTTCAAAGTGACAGTCCAGAACTGCAGCAGTAAAGCCCACTATATCTGCAGCAGTGATATCACAAGTAAGTGGTAGCATTACTCGTGTTCACTGGCTTTGAAATATTGGGCATTAATGTATACACCAAATTTTGAAATGAAGTTATAACTAGTTATCTCTTTTGATTACATATACAGATATTGACATGCACACATGTGTATTTTATTTTACAATATTTTGATACATATTTTATTCAGAATAAGTAGATAGTCCAATGTCTACATGACTTCTATGTCTAGACTCCCCCCACCACCACCACCACCACCACCACCACCACCACCACCACCACCACCACCACCACCACCACCACCACCACCACCACCACCCATACACATACACATGCACATACACATACACATACACATACACTTGGACACACACAGACTAGCCTGATTACAACTGTGATGTTTTAACTCTATAGGTGGTAATTGTGAGACACCAGCTCCTATAAAGAATGGCGTGTGGGAGTGCAGTGACGGAGGATCTCAGTGTCGTCAGTGTAAAGTGAAGTGTAACCCCAACTATGCCGTACCAAGACGTATTCCTGAATACTTCAGCTGTGGCCCTCTGGGATACTGGGGCTCTGCCAGGACGCCATCAGCCACATTCCGCGTACCCTCCTGTACATGTAAGTGAAAAAGTTTCCTAGAGTTAGTTTGGTTTTATGCTGTTTAGGAGTACAGTTAGCAATAGGTCTAGCAATTTGGAACAGTTTGTTTATTTTCATTTTGATTGAAATGACAATTTATATCTGTGGAAGTGAAAAACAGTTGGTATGTGATTTTGTTATCATAATGTAATATCTGGCTAAATGACATGATAAAACATTTTAAAAAAAGTATAATTGTTCTTTGTTCTTTCTTGCAGTAAAAAGTCAAAAAAGAGTGAGAGTATATGTACGTTTCCGTATACAAGTGCCAGGCCCCCTCTCGACACAGCAAGCGAATGCCATCAAGGATGCCGTCAAAGGCCTGATCAGAAGCCATTTTGTAATTCTTAACAACCTCTGGAACAATCTGTGGTGCTACATCACAGACTGCTCTAGAAAACTATCAGCAGACAACATCACAGTAATGCAGAGATCGTCTGCAAGAAGGAGAAAACGTCAGAGTACTTCTGAGTTTGATGTTACCTTTTCTGTTGGTGATTTACCCGAGATGATGAACAACACAGGTGGAAATGAAACGTTGACACCATTGCAGATTCTCCTACGGGATGCACTGCAGCAAAATGGATTTAACTTTAATGTAAGTCATGCTTTGATTTTTGTTCCAAAATGACACTATGAATCCATTAGTCTGATATAATTCTTCAGAATTGATATCTATGTAAAATTTTTCTGCAGACTTCCAGACAAGGAGAAAACGACATCCAAACTAAAGTACACTTAAGTAACCTAAGTATTTTACACTTAAAGTTAAAACGAACTTTTTCGCAAGAATGTAAGCAAGAATGGTATGTTTCAAATACCTAAAAAATATCTCAAGAAAAAAACATGTATTACCGTATTGTTTGGTAGTATTGAATGTTCCTAGTCAGTTGGTGTCATTATAACATTGGTATTATTTTAGAATGACATAGCAGGCAGTGTCACCCTCCCTGACCAGACGGTGATCACCTCCGAGCCGTCCTGCGGCCCTGGCCAGACCCTAGTGGGCACAAGCTGCGTGGACTGTGCTGAGGGAACCTACTACAACAGCTTGACACAGACCTGTGACGACTGTCCAGTTGGTCAGTTCCAGAATATGACCAGCCAGACGTCGTGTATGATGTGTCCAGGAGGGGGCACCACTGATGGCGCCGGGTCCACTTCTGTGGCTGACTGTAAAAGTAAGAACTTTGTTTTGAGCACAGATAGGCATAGGTGTTGTTTGAAAAAATGGAAAAGGAACCGTTTTAACTTAAAAGTATAATTTTAATGTACACTAAAAAGTGTAAATGTTGTTTGGAAATTGGAAAAAATGCCGGTTAGAGGGACATGAAGTTTGATTTTTTGCATCTCCATTGATGGACATTTATCAAAAAATAAGAAAAAATATAGTTATATTACAAATGATATTATACTTTTTAATTAGCAATACCCTGATATTTTCAGTATCATGTGCAGCAGGCTTTTACATCAGTAAATATCTTCAATATGACTGACACGCTATATACCCTGATATTTTCAGTATCATGTCCAGCAGGCTCTTACTTCAGTAAAGTCAGTGGGTCCTGCAGACTTTGCCCGGTCAGTTACTACCAGGAGCAGACTGGTCAGTTCAGCTGTGACCCATGTCCAGTAGACAAGGTGACCAGGGACCCAGGAGCCGATAACTCTTCCATGTGCTTCGGTCAGTATAAGTGATATTTAAAAGTGATTATTGAGAGGTTTTTTAATACTGCAGTGTGACAGGTTCTTTAAGCAATCATGAGTTTTAATTGGAAATATTATCAACACGGCAGGGGCAGATGGAAGCCTTCGTCTTCTAGGTCTACCAGAAGACGATCAAGTTTTTTTTTCTTTCGGAAGATGATCAAAAATGAAAGATGCACTAACAAAGATAATTTGGAAGACTGTCAAAAAATATCGTTGGATCCACCCCTGAACAGCTAGATTTTAGCTGCAATGCTGATACTCTTGAAAAACCTTACATGGGTCCTTGTGAAACATATGATAAAATTTTGATAATTTTGTTGTTTTAATAAATTTTATAATATTAATAATAATAGAAAACATAAATGCAGAACACAAATTAAGATACATGAGTTATGCATCAGACATCAGGTATTTTAGTATCAGTAAATAGTAGTTGTAAACATTGTATCATTATTTAAGTTATTCTGTAGGTGAAATGCTACTCAGCTAACATTTGTACTTTCATTCTTTCCGACATGAAATAAACTTCATTGTACTGTATTGTATATGGACACATACTGGTCCTGCTTCCTGTACAGCTCTGTGTGACCAAAACTTGTCTTTTCTAGATGACTGTCCCAGTGGCAGTGAGCTGGATGACCAGGGTCAGTGTGTCAGTTGTCCACGTGGTTACTACAGACAGCAGGGAGTCCAGCTCAGGTGTACAGAGTGTCCAGCCAACTTTATCACACCTGGCAATGGTAGCATCACTGTGGCAGAGTGTACAGTCCGTAAGTATCATAACACCTGGCAATGTGGAAGAGTTTCTCTGCAATAGGTGATTAGAATGTTTTGAACAGATATTAGGAAACATTTACAGGTTTTTTTGGGAAGTAAAATTATTTGTAAAATAATGATTACAGTTGAAAAGGCTCTGCCTTTTTGTTATTATAAAATAGGGCTTTCGTTTATGAAAAGTTTCTCCATATTTAATGAGAGCATGTCTGGAAAAAGTAGAAAGACAATTCAGTGTGTTCTAGAATGATAAGTGTAATGATTATAAAGATAATAATACTTTGGTGTTGCCCATATTTCAGCTGACTGTCAGCCAGGCTCCTATATAGACTCCAATACTTGCACAGCCTGCGATAACGGTTTCTATCAGCCAGAGAAATGGCAGACATCTTGTATCAGCTGTGGAGACCCTGCAAACTGGAGAACAGATCAGATAGGATCCACCATGCAGTCTCAGTGCAAATGTAAGAATACATAACCAAATCAACTGGATGAGTGAATGTTTTGTTGACAACTGTATGGTAAAGAATGTCAGAAACTGTGGGCCGCGTTCTGTTATTTATTTATTTATTATATTTTACAGATTATGCAGTGATTTTAGATGTTTGAATTACCAATATGATAATGATGAATTTAACAAGGAAAAGCAGTTGTTTATCTATTTAAATACAATATTTTACAGACTACTGCCCATCAGGGTATGAAGTGCAGAACTTCACCTGTGTCGCGTGTCCAGTTGGTACCTATAAAGATATCTCCAGCGGGAACTACTACGGAATGTGCGACCCATGTCCTAACAACAAGGTGACAGAGCAGGACACCTCCATATCTGTGGACAACTGTACCATCTGTAAGTAACAGGATTTGGTACTTGTATAGTGATGGAGGCAATGGTTGCATGTTGCATGTTTTTTTCCAATATGTCTTATAAAATTACTGGACAATTCTTTCAGGATAATTCCATTGCAGGTTTGTTTAAATTACAATTTCCAATCCTAAAAGGTTGATGTGGTACCTTATTTCAAATATTCCCTCTTTATTTCCAGCCAATTGCAGTGCAGGCTATGCATCATATGAGGATGGTTCAGGGTGCTACCCGTGTCCCCGGGGTACCTATCAGCCAGAATCCCTCCAGAGACAGTGTTTACAGTGTATCAACCGTACCATGTACACCACACTGGATGAAGCCAACACAAGTCCCAGTGCATGTACAAGTAAGTCTCTGAGTGGTCAGGCCTAGGGTTGGCTCTGATAATTAAATTATGATAATTTAGTTGAGATACTTTAGAAATAAACATCTTAGTTTTTCTTGTGGGTTGGGAGACTGTCCTGTGATTTGAGATGGCTTTTTGCTGAGTTCTGCTACAGTATAGTATTGCAAACATGACTTTTATAGGTGAGATTGGAGAAACTTTACTTTTTCTCTTTTTCTTCATTGTTTTATTAATAACTGTGATATCTTATCCAAATGAATGAGTCATTGAATGTTTTGCAGCTGTAAAAGAATTTCTGTATTTTTTGTCCCATTCACCTTCTTCCAGAATTCTGTCCTTCTGGACATGAGATTATGACAGATGGCACGTGTCGGCCATGTGAGCGTGGTCTCTACAAGGACAACCTGGTGGGTCCTGACTTTGAACTGAACAGGTGCACGGCCTGCCCGCCTGGTGTGGTCACAGACATAGGAGTCACCGCTGCCACCAATGCCAGTATATGTACCTTCTGTAAGTAGAGGATGGTGGTATAACATCTTTTCACAAGATGCTGTTTTTCTTGATTTATACTGCCCCCTAGTGACTAGGCAGAAGACCTTTTTCTTTCAAGTATTTTCTATACAAGTATGTTAACCCATATTATGTTATTTACATGAGAATTGTGGTGTATTTTGATAATATATTGGGGGAAGCGTCTAACTTGATCAGAGTGTTTTCCAGGAATGCAAATTACACTTGAAAATCTAATTTGAAATTGTTTTGCAGTCAAGATAAATCAGTCTGATGTACCATATATACCATTGTGTCTGTTCTAGTGGCTTGTGAACCTGGCCATTATTACCTGAAGCCTGCCAATGCCTGTGAACCATGTCTGAAAGGAGCATACCAGCCCAACAAGTGGCAGGCACAGTGTCTGCAGTGTCAGTCTGGAGAAACCACCACAGGAACAGGCTCTATCAATGAGACACAGTGCCTTAGTAAGTACACGTGTTGTAAGATACACATTGAAGATTATGTATGGTCATTGTGTTCCTGTGTAAACTTGGCAAAAAACTTATTTTTTATGTATGATTTAATTTATATCAGAGGTTATTGTGTGGATATCACTGAATTAACTCAGCAGTATCTTCTAGCTGGCACATAATAAAACTTTACCACTTAATTTGCATCTCCTTGTATTGAATACATTCAGTAAAAAAAGAGTATGTAGTATACATGTACATATACCAGCACATGTGATCATCAATTTATGTATTCAGTTGTCACAGGGGACTATTAGCAAGTTGACAAATGCAAAAGAATAGTATGTTCAGTACAACATATCTGATATATGTATGTTTGGTTTCACCAGAGTACTGCCCGTCTGGGNGAAGAGCTGGACTCTAATGACAACTGTGTACCGTGCCAGAGAGGTTACTACAAAGGATAATACAGCGCTGCCAAACCAAGAGTTCAACAGGTGCACGGCCTGTCCAGTAAACTTTGTGACACCTGGGGAACGCGCTAATTCATCAGCTGAATGCTCTATTGGTACGTAGAACTTCCAGTTATCATTACATGTATTATTATTATTATTATTATTATTATTATTATTATTATTATTATTATTATTATTATTATTATTATTATTATTATACATATGGGGATGAACTCATTATATGAAAGTTAGAACCACCCAAGACAGAGAGATGTGCTACTGCCTCTCAACTGAAAAAAAAAATTTGGGGAGCAGTTACATACAAAAATGTTCTTTATCTTTTGGGGAAATACATTTATGATATATACCATTTGACATTTTTCAGGTATTGTAAAAATTCACTAATAATAGTTTTTACATGTGATCTCAGCTTTACTATCATTATATTAATTTTTTTTAAATACCTACACATTTTGATCATGTTTATCTATTTTTCTTTCCAGCCAACTGTTCTGCAGGTTCGTTCATCAACTCCAACAACTCGTGCCAGGTGTGTGATATTGGTCAGTACCAGCCGGACAGGTGGCAGACGTTGTGTAGGTCATGTGGCGCCCAGGAGACCACCCTGCAGACGGGATCCACGGATATCGCACAGTGTCTCAGTAAGTGGTGTGGACTGTAATTATGGGAGAGTAGTTGTCCAACTTGGATTGGTGTAAAAGTGCTCTTGAGCAAACATATACTTCTGCCCAGTCTGCAAGTCAGAGCTTGTGGATTTCTCTTTTATTTCTGAATCAGCTGTAATTACAAGTGCAGTTCTTGTTTGGTTTAAATAAGGACAAAGAGTCTTTATTAAGATTACAAAATATTAAGTGCAATTTATAAAGAGACAATTGACTGCATTTGAAACTTAAAAAAAAAAAGCCTTGTGTGTGTGTGTGTGTGTGTGTGTGTGTGTGTGTGTGTGTGTGTGTGTGTGTGTGTGTGTGTGTGTGTGTGTGTGTGTGTGTGTGTGCGTGCATCCGTGCATGCATGTGTTTGTGTGCTTGTGTGTGAAGCTTTTCTTTTCATAGTTTTCTCCATAGTAATTTAAGTTAGTTATAGAATACACTAATTCAGTTTCATATCTTTTATTTGTCATGTTATTAATCTCTGTCTTCCAGAATATTGTCCTCATGGTTATGAGTTGAATGCCACCAAGTCCTGTATACCCTGTCCCCAAGGTTACTACAAGGATAATGATGCCGCCCCCTCTTATAAGTTCAACCAGTGTACTATGTGTCCTATTGACTTCATCACTAACACACTGGCAGGACCAAATATTAGCGCTTGCAATATAAGTAAGTTTTAAAAAGACCATTGATATTTTTGATTTTTTATGTAACAATTACATTGGTTTTCTTTGAGATTTTTACACTATTTTCAGATTAGATGGCCAATAGCATTGAGTTATCTATTGTGATGGTAATTCAGTCAATATGGTTTGGGGTTCGACATGGTGTTACATGCCAGGCACAAATGATTTCTATGGTTTGGCAAGTAGAATTTAAATCATGCTTGTCTGCAAACACTTGTGGCTTGCTGTAATCAAAAGAATTTATTTATTTTCAAATTTTTATTTTTGGACTGGGGCAAGTAGGTTTGGACTTATCACAGCTTTTTGCTGCTCTTGCAATGGACATAATAAAGACTTCACGTAAATATTATTTCAGTAAGCATGTGTGAACTAAGTCCTAATGTTTCTGCATATTCCAGAGAACTGCTCTGCGGGTTCCTACAGAGACACCCTGACTAACAACTGTACCCTGTGTCCCCTGGGGCGGTACCAGCCCCAGAAGTGGCAGACCATGTGTGAGAGTTGTGACCCAGGGTACACCACCACTGCCCTGGGGGCCATTAATGAGGCCCAGTGTACAAGTGAGTGGGGGAGACACAAGGATGGGCATCTGTGGAACCAATCTCAATAAAACTCTGCTGTGTAGATGGATCTTACTCCGTGGGGACTCTTGCTGAATGCAATCAGATTAAAAGATTACCATGCCTCCTCTTGGCCTAAAGTAGAATACAAAAAAGCTGGTGATTATACGAGTTCAAGAAATGGTGTCATTTAGTTAATCTGATTGCATTCAACAAAAGTCCTGCCAAGTTGGATCAATCTACGTAGAATGATAGTTTCATTGGGAATGGGCCCTAAATTTCATTGGGAATGGGCCTTAAGTTTCATTGGGAATGGGCCCTAAGTTTCATTGGGAATGGGCCCTATGGTTTCAAAATTTTAAAGTCAAAACTTTTTTGACATTTTGTGTAGAGCTAAACAGGCAGTCAAAGCTAAAAAATGTAGTCATTTTTGTTTCAGATGAAAGGATTTCAAAATAGTAAATTTTAATGTCCACTGTAGGATGTTATTAAGTCTGTTTTGTATGCCTATCTGTTAAAATTCTTCAATTTCTGTCTACTTCAGAATACTGTGAGTCTGGCTCAGAACTGGATGGCAGTGGGAACTGTGTTGGCTGTGAGCAGGGTTACTACAAAGATAACACTGCTGGACCAGACTATAAATTTAACAGATGTACTTTATGTCCTGTGGATTTCATAACAGCTGCTACTAATGCCACCAGTGCTGGTTTATGTAATGTTGGTATGTACCATCAGGGAATTTTACCTGATCTGTTTTTTTAATGGATTGTCCTAATTAAGAGGGTTTTTCATATGCTTAATTTAATCAAGTACATGAAGTATAAGGTACTTTTTAGATGCAGGATTTTAGTAACCATAAACTATTATTTTTTAAAATTATATGTTAAGCTTTTCAGATCACATTAAAAATATATTCAAATGGCACCAAAATGTCCAATTTGAAATTACAATATATCTCTAGTACTTGTTAAAACACTTTTGAAGTCAATATTAGTCTGTATGTATGTAATGTCTAAAATCCATATGTTTTCAGCTAACTGCAGTGCTGGTTACTACAGAGAGGTCAGTAACAACAGCTGCGTGGCCTGTGCTATTGGTTACTACCAACCACAGAAATGGCAGACACAGTGTGAGCAGTGCCCAACAGACAAGACTACAGAGAATCTGGCTTCCACGGATCTAGCACAGTGCTTGTGTAAGTTATATGGGCCAGGGGAAGGGGGTTAAGATCAGATCCTCTGCCTGGGTCTTTCAAAAGGTGACAAGGTTCTGTAAATCATACAGTGTATGATGTGTGCAGGTGGTTAAGAAATTTTGAATTGAAGACTTGGCTTTAAGTGACAGAGAACCAACTTAAAGGAAGAAGTCTTGTCATGTTGATAGAAGCAAATACTGCGGTGTTTGGGAGTGGTATCAGTAAGAAGTTTGCATTGGTCTTTGTGTTTTATCAATACAGAGGAAATTCAATGCAATGACCTAACTTAAAATAAATTGATTTTTTGGTTGTTCCATTAATCAAGTAATTAATAATCATGAAAATTGAGCCATCATGGCAGATGTCTCTCTAATAGTGTTAATTCATGTTCACTTTTTAGTGCGCTGTCCACCAGGCAAGGAGGATGTAGGGGGCACCTGTCAGTTGTGTCCAGTGGGGAAATACAAGGTGGAGTACATGGCATCCAGTTGTACCCCTTGTCCAGACAACTACACCACCACTGGACAGGGGTCAGTGGCCGCGGCTAACTGCTCTGTTGGTAGGGATGACTTTTTATTATTTAATTGATGTTTCTTAGCATTTGATCCTTCAAACATGATTTTGAAAGCTTAAAATATTTGTGTATTGATTACCTTTACAATTTTTGTCATGCAATTCTTGTCTTTTGTTTGCATAAAATAATAATAATTATTTAACAATTTGAAATAAAAATGGTTCTTTACTTTCTACTGCAGGTTTGGCCTCTGTCAGTAAAACATTCAATATATTGTCTTCCAGTGATGTGCCACCCAGGTTTCTATAGAGACAGCAACACAGAGACATGTATGCACTGTCCTAGAGGGCAGTACCAGAACCAGACTGCATTCATGGGTGGTGCCTGCACAGCATGTCCTCCTGGCAGGACCACACTTATCCTAGGGGCTGATGAGGAGGAGGATTGTATTTGTAAGTAGTATTAGGTAGTATTTACGGGGCTGCTCTGAATGTTGTTGATTTTTTGGACAGTGATGTGGCTGTATGTTTATTGGTTATGACCTGGCTGGAAAAGATATTTTACTTTACTTTTTATATACTGTGTTTTTGATTATGTTTCTATTTTTTTCTCCATAACCATGATGTTAATTCAGAGCCCAAATCACTTTTATTAAAAGTTTCAAATGTATAGATTAGGATCAACATTATCAATAAATACTGCAGTGACCAGCATAAATCTCCCCTACTTAATTGTCTTAAACACTGGAAGGCATTGGTCAGTTATTCTGCTGAAGAAACAGAGCACATCCTCACAAAGGTATATATAATATTATGTGTAATGTTCCTATGAGCTAAGTTCACAGCCTACCTGTGTTCTAATTGGTAAAATATTAAGAGGTTGTTTCCTATCTCTCCAGTGGACTGTCCCAGTGGCCAGGAATATAACAGCCAGCTGAAGAGGTGTGATGACTGTGCCATAGGTTATTACCGTAACAAGACAGTGGAGGACAGCTGTCAGATGTGTCCCATACAGTTCCTCACCGCCGGGACAGGAACTACCTCAATGGAGGGCTGTAATCTGGGTAAGGTTTCATTGAAATTTACTCACTCACTGCCAGGATAGGAACTTTAAGGACACTTATTTTTATAGCTTATTATCAACTTTATCTTTTTATCTTTTGAATTAATAATGTATGCTAGGTAACATAACAAACAGTGTAAGGATAATACCAACTCAGATAGAGGTTAGCCTCAAAAATCAAATGTTGTCTTCATAACTTAATATTTTCTTTTTTAATTTGATAATGTTATATTATACATTTCCATTCAATTTTTTCTCAAATCCAGTGAAAAACATCTATGATTTTTTTACAACATTTTAATCACATATACTGTTCATGATCAATCCAGTGTACATGTCTATGTCATCCACAGGTAATTGTTCCTTGGGTCAACAGCGTGTGCCTAGCAACAGATCTGTGTGTGAGCCCTGCCCAGTGGGCACCTACCAGCCTAATCCTAAGAGGGAGACCTGTATGGGATGTGGACCCAACAAAACCACAGAGAACACAGGGACAGTGGAGATCTCCCGCTGCATAAGTAAGAGTCACTGGTCATCTACTGAGGGGAATTAACTCTTAGCATTCATATTCTTATCGTTACATGCTGTCTTGTAAAAAACAAAGAATTTAAACATGATATCTGGTATAAGTTAAGAAGTAAAATGATCTATTTCTCCAAGCCAGCCACCGATGAATATAGTTATTTACTCTGACCATTTATATTCTTATCATCATGTATTGCTTTGCAAATGACAAAGAATTTAAACATGATATCTGGTACAAATAAAGCTGTAAGTTAACCCCATTCTCCAAGCCAGCCACTGATGGCTATACTCCTGTGTTATATTCCAGCTGACTGCCCCAGTGGTTACCAGATTAGTGCTAGTAATGCCACTGATGGCTATACTCCTGTGTTATATTCCAGCTGACTGCCCCAGTGGTTACCAGATTAGTGCTAGTAATGCCACTGATGGCTATACTCCTGTGTTATATTCCAGCTGACTGCCCCAGTGGTTACCAGATTAGTGCTAGTAATGCCACTGATGGCTATACTCCTGTGTTATATTCCAGCTGACTGCCCCAGTGGTTACCAGATTAGTGCTAGTAATGCCACTGATGGCTATACTCCTGTGTTATATTCCAGCTGACTGCCCCAGTGGTTACCAGATTAGTGCTAGTAATGCCACTGATGGCTATACTCCTGTGTTATATTCCAGCTGACTGCCCCAGTGGTTACCAGATTAGTGCTAGTAATGCCACTGATGGCTATACTCCTGTGTTATATTCCAGCTGACTGCCCCAGTGGTTACCAGATTAGTGCTAGTAATGCCACTGATGGCTATACTCCTGTGTTATATTCCAGCTGACTGCCCCAGTGGTTACCAGATTAGTGCTAGTAATGCCACTGATGGCTATACTCCTGTGTTATATTCCAGCTGACTGCCCCAGTGGTTACCAGATTAGTGCTAGTAATGCCACTGATGGCTATACTCCTGTGTTATATTCCAGCTGACTGCCCCAGTGGTTACCAGATTAGTGCTAGTAATGCCACTGATGGCTATACTCCTGTGTTATATTCCAGCTGACTGCCCCAGTGGTTACCAGATTAGTGCTAGTAATGCCACTGATGGCTATACTCCTGTGTTATATTCCAGCTGACTGCCCCAGTGGTTACCAGATTAGTGCTAGTAATGCCACTGATGGCTATACTCCTGTGTTATATTCCAGCTGACTGCCCCAGTGGTTA